TGAACAATTAGTTCTCACTGAAGGGATATTAAGAAGCTGCTAAGACATCAAAGTAGCTTAAGTACTGTCAAGCCAACACTGTACATAATTTCATTCATAACAGACTTGAGAATGGAATTTTTCTTCCCTCTACACGTTCCACTTACCTCCCCAACAGTGTTACACCCCATTAAACACTATAAAAGGATTATAAGGAAAAAGTACCAAAGAGGAAAATACCCAATAAAATGTGTACTTTACAAACATCAGTAGGAAGTTTACAACACACAAATGAGCCTAAAAAAAGGATAAGAGCCTTAGGCTCACACCATTTATTCAGCCCACAAACCACGAAAAACCAAGCACACGTGAAAATTTCTAAACACAAGAGTAAACAGCATCCTGCCTGGTACCCACAGAACACTCTCATCTTTAGTAGAACTCATTAAAACAAAAAAGCAAACTAAAAACACAATAAAGAACTTATGACCAACCCTATGCAGCACAGGTAACTACAAAAAACCCCACAATTTGAGAAAGACTGCAGAATTAGGTAATGCTTAAATAATAGTATCTAAAGGCATTAAAATAATTAAACATCAAACTTCCATCATAATGCATTCGGATAGTGCAAGGTGATGGAAGCTTGATGATTAATTATTTTAATCATCAGTGCACCCACACTAAAGCATAGCCCTCGTCACTCAGCAATTAACACGCCAGTCACTATTTGTATTTTTCAGCACATCTGTTGCAAAGACTGTTTAGACAATAAAGACCATTTACTGCTGCCCTACTACAGTCTCCCTACTCATACTCTGCAGCTGGAAAACACCTTCATAAACCAATCTTTCTCAATCCCATGGCTCATGTGAGTGTCTGAGGGGGCTTGAGCTGACAGGTTTTCCCACAGCCCACCCAGGATTCATATTGTGCCTGGGCACCACAAGGTACAGAAACAGCTAAACCAACTGTGCTGAGGTTTTACATGCAGCTTTGCAACAAGCACAAGCAAAACTGCATTAACTGAAGCTTTCTTTTGCAGCTTACAGATTACTTCAGACAAATATATCATGAAGAAGTTCTTACCTGCAGCAGGGGCCTTCTCCTGACACACTGCAGCAGCAGGCAGCCTTCAAGGTGGAGTGGGAGAGCTTCCCACCTCTGGCACAATGCTCACCTGCCTGTCACTATCTGCCAGCTGCTGAAGCAACAGGATAAAAGAAAAGACAGGCAAAAGGAGCAGTGCACTTTCCTCCCCTGTCTGCAGTGGGTAGAGAGCATGCCACCTGCATTTTGTCCATGGAAATAAAAGGCAAAGCGAGGGCACTGGTTCCTCCCTCTTGGTTGGATTACAGCAGCTACAAGGCTCTCTGTGTCACTTTGATCTGCTCCAGCAGGAGAACAGCTTCAGATGCCTCTTTGCCCTCCACGATTTGTGCTCAATTCCCAGGGTCCCAGTGAAGGGCTAGCAGTGACAGCTGTTTTCCTCCTTGGCAGCTCTGACCAGAAAGGTGCAGCAGAGCCGGTAGTTGGGGAAATGGGCAGCCTCCCACTCCCTTCACTCCTTGTCCTGCCTCTGTCATGTTAGGTGCATGGCACCAGGGCAAGCATCGGGCTGAGATGCAGCCAGGGTGATGGTACATTGCAGAAAAGTTCTATGTCCCAAAATACACATTTTAAATGAGGAAATCACTTTTTTCTGCCTTGGTTACTCAAATTTTACCAGGCCTCTGCAGAGGGACTACAGTTCAACAACATTTTCATTTACTCCAAGTACAATATTTGAGTTCAAAAGCAGGTCAGAATAGCACTGGTGTTTGAAAAATATTTTAAATACAAGTTTTCTGTCAGAAAACTAAATCCAGCTAAAGATGCAAGAGGCCAAGCTGAGAAATACAGTGCCTCTAAAATATATCACCACATGAGACCTGAGGAACTGGAAATCAACAGCAGCCCTTGTGATATGAAGAACAGTCAATAATTCAAGCACTCTGGGCAATATGTCAGCCTTAACTATAGATGAAAGTTATTGCTCCTTTTCTACTTGATCATTGGAGCAGGGTTCTGGTTAAAATCTCATCTGATATGTTTTCTTTTTGGTAAAACACGATGTAGGCCTCAAGTGATTCCTGCCCGGAAAACAAACAGCAGATTGATCAAAGGATGTGTTGAGAGCCATTTTCTGCTCTCAGCAAGCCCTCCTGTGGGCCCTGATGCTGGTCAAACTTAGGGTTTATTCCCATCCTCAGGTGTAACACAAAGGTTTGAAGACAGACAATGGAGAAAGTTTTTCTCCACCCTGGCCTCAGCCGGGCGGCTGTTTCACACAGCCCCATTCTCCACACACAGCCAGCAGCTCTGAGGGGAGCAGAGGCACCTCAAGAAGCTCACAGGTGACTCAAGAACGAGCAGCAGAAGCAGCCAAGTGAGAATTTGACCTCTCCCCTTCACTTTCCACAAGCAGGATGTGGAGGTTTGTGCTGGAGCCCTCACACTCCTGGGCAGAGGAGATGCTCCAGTGCTGGGCAATGCTGCGTCCACTGCCCTCACACCTTGCCTCAGCCCTGGGGCACTCTGTCCCTAAGGGAAGCATTGCCAGCTCTTCCAAAATGCACTCAGACTTAGGAACTGCCCATGGTTCAGTTTACCTTTTCTTTGTACTCATCTGTACAGTGCTTCATACTTTCTTCTTCCACACTTCCCAGCACTGTGAATGTTTAAGGCCTGCTGTCCTTTTAAACCAATTTTAAAAGAGGATACCTCACCCAAACACCCAATTGAAGGAGAAACAAGCATTTTATTTGCCTAATAGTGCTTAAGACCACTTGTGAGAATCTGAAAATAGAAAGTCAATGCAAGAAGTACATATGCTGCTTAGAAGTTCTCTCAGAAAAATAAATTACAATTCACATTAAATGACAACATTCTTCAAGGCTTGGGTTTGTTTGTTTGGCTTGGTTGGTTTATGTGGGTTTTTTTCCTGTATTTAAATGACTGAAGCTCCAAACATGATTTCCTTTGTGCGCAGACATGCTGAATTTAGTTTTACGCTAATTTCATGTCAAAACACTTACTAGCTTTAATCTAATTCAGTTGAAAAGTAAGCATCCACAGAAATGCTCCACTTGTGTCCAAATGCAGGTACAAACTGGTTTTGTGGTTTTTAGCTCCCATAAATTTCCTGCTCATATATGAAATCAGAGGCCCAAGCTGACTCCTAAAATGGCAACATATTATTCCTTTTCCCTTTTATACGCTTCATTTCCTTTCTTCACAATGCAGATATGTACATTTTTCATTCTGTTTCCTTGTGATACTTGGTTTGAGCACCTTCCTCAGGACAGAGAGGGATTAGTGTTTACCAAGGTGCCACTCAGAGCTAGAGGCCACTGCAGGGCCAGCAGAGCCCGATCAATCAATCTCTGTGTGCCAGAGCAGCATCTCAACTTCTCACTCCCTGCCTTTGGAAAGAGAAATTCTACACCATGACAGCTAGCTCTTTAGCAAAGTTCACCTCAAACCCTCAACCTCAAGTGTTAAAAAAGAAAAGCCCTTAAATGATACAAGTTATTACATTTAATCCCTTTGGGGGAAGTGGGGAATGATTTTGTGATTAAGGACCTACTGTGGGGCTCAAGAGAATTAGTTCAATTCCAGACTCTGAAACAAGCTTCCAGGTTCCCCTGGGAAAGCCTATGCAATCTCCTACCTCACATGGACACCAGCAGGGCAATTTGTAAGTGTGTGCAGCCCTCAGACATCGTAGTACCAACAGCTAAATAAATTCATAGTTAGGAGTTATCTGAGGTTCAATAATTTTGAGGACTAGTTACTTATTCAATGAGGGCATTACCATTATACTATCACTTACCACAAATCACTCTTAAAAATTGGTATTAGTTTTTTGAAAAATAGTAAGCTACATTATTACTTACTCCTGGGCTGACACGTAGTTCCTAAGGGTTTAGTTAATGTATTAATGAAAATGATGAATGAATGAAAAAAGCTGCAAGATAAAAATAAATTGTCAGGTCTTACAGAAAGACACCACTTAGTTCTCAAGCACAGAACTATTTTCTATGGTTTGCACTTCAGATAAATTTTGTTCCATTAAGATTTATAGCTAGTATTGTTTCTTGTCAAAAAAATAAATTTATTATCGAATGAATGAATTTAATAATGAAAACTCATCTGACAATGAGTTGTGATAGAGAAAATCCAGCAAGCACTATCAGAAAAACATAATACTGAAGCCACCACATAACCTTCTAGACAGTGAAGCGCTGCACTACACAATGCACTGTGATGACATTAGACAGTCTGTCTTGCAGAAAGAACAAAACAATTTAATTACTCTGATATACTGACAAGAACACATACTAGTCATGTTCTTTGCAATTCAGTACCAGTGGAAATTTTATCCTACTATTATGAAAAACAGCTGCCACACACCAGAAATATAAAGCAATAGCTACTTCACATTTTTAAAGACATGTCAGTTATTAAAATTTCACTCATTTCTGCAAAGGTGCCGTGCCTATTATGGTTGCAGGTAATGCTGTATTTAGTGCATTACGAAAGTTATTTTCAGTAACTTGACATATATTTCACATATTTCTAAACTATTTTCTGTATGAAAACAATTGTCTCTCTCAGAATTTGGAAAAATCCACATAAAATTTCAAGATCAGCATTGCTGGCATGTTTTTTTATATTCAATCTATAAGTGATATTTTAATCTTAATATTAAATATTTTGGCAGAGCATCTGCCATTTATTTTGCATGGATTAAGTCAAATATACTTGGTACAGACCAGCAATTCACACCAACAATTCTTGGCCAGTGTCTTCACCTTCATCTCTTTAAGGTAAAATGCAGAAATGACTGAGGGACTTTCCATGAATTAAGAGAAATTCCATCCATCCTACCCAACATGCAGAGTAAGCCAGATCTGATGAGACCTGCCCATTATGATCTGATAAAGTTCAAACACAAGTTGAAACTGGTGGCAACTGTGTAAAACATGCAACTTTATTCTGTGACTGTTTACAACCTCTAATTTAAAACCACAAATGTGCAACAGTGACATTCATGAGCATCTGTTTAAATGGAAAAGCCTTCTTAAATTTTTCATTTCTTGCAGGTGACAGAGGGTGTGATGGTGGTCACAGGACTTCCACTATTTTCAGTGCTGTCAGCAGTGTCTTAGCTAAAGCTCCCCGTTGGTGCTGCACTGGTTTAACACGAATAGCTGTGACAAAATACAACAAATACTGTAAGACAGTTGTAGTTTCTGTATTTGGTCATCCTCCCCATATCTGCTTACATCTAAAAATCAACCCCCTTTTTTACCAGTGAAAGGTTAATTGCCACCTTAATGTTGCATTTTATTGTATTATCAAACCTAACAATCTGATATACACTTTTGTGTGTTCCATGTCCTTGTGGGGTCCCACTCTGACAGGGAACGAATCAGGCAGCTGCATAGATGCCCATAGCTGGATAGGAATGACAGAAGTCAGAGGGGCCACAAAAACACATACAGTTTTATTAGTAAATTAAACACTTGGCAAGAAAAACTGGTTGTTTAGTCTCTTTTAGTATAAACACATGGTAGTGAATTTTTGAGTAAGGGGGAGGGAGGGAGTGAGGAAGGAACTATTTTCAACATAGAAACAGTACCTTTCAGGCTGACAGGAGTTGAAGAAGAATGGCTGCTGTTTTCATTATTTAAATGATAAGAAGTTCCCCAGCTAGAATAGATGTGTAGTTGTTAGCATCAGGTTCTAACCAGAAATGATTTACAGTTATTAAACCAAACAGCTACAGGGCTTTGTCAGTCACCTGATGGCAAAAGGTCAGGTGTCCCTCCAAGCTGTGGCCATTTTGCAGGCTGATGTCAAGAACATCCCAGAAGTCCCAGCTTTTAACAGGTGCTAAAATAAGAAGTAGAGGATTATCCTTTGCATCTGAGAGTCCTGTTTGGAAATAGTTTTTGTGGTTTATTGTCAACTGTTTCAAAACAAACATTGAAATCTACCTTTGTTTGTACAGGACACTCCTTTAACTGTGTAAAACCACCAGGCTTAAGAAATGCCTGAGAAGAGGTAACTGAAAGCAGATAGAACAATGAGCACTGCAGCCAAAGCAGTGGCACCACACCCCAACAGCTACAAACGCCTTGGCCTCTCTCATTCAGAGCCCTGCTTTAAAAGATGTACAGGCACTGAGCTACCAGTCCCCTAGGTATTAACAACAGAGCACACTGACCTGCAGTGTTACTAATCATAGCATGAGCACACTACAAAGGCAAACTCTCTTATATTAATGTTAACTTGCACACAAGTTAAAACAAACTGACAAATGAAGTGCAATTGGTATCAAAAGTTAAAGCCAGATTTTATTAAATGACAAACAGATGTCATCCAAGGCTGGTTCTAAGCAAAGATTTAATCCATGACCATAATGTAGGTCACCAGTTTTGATAGAGTTTGTGCCTAGTATTCATCCAAGGAATCAGACTCAGCACATCAATAGCTGTCAAGAGTGTAGATACAATTTCTTTTTGCATCAGCATTTAATAAAATAATCCAATTAAGCAGATGTCACAATATTTTTTGCTGACTTCCCCATAATTTTCAGTCATTAAAGCAGTATTTAATTTACAAAAAACACTATACTCTAATCCTATGCATCCAAGAATATTCATGTTTAAAACCTGAACCGCCCTCACCGTTTCTGCTGCCCTTCTGGTTTCCCATGAGCTTCAGTAACTCAAAAGAATTGCAACCAACTTGGTAACTAAAAAAGAAAGCTTTGTGGAATGGGAAAAGTTCACAACAGGGGAGGAAAAAAAGCCTTTCTAAAATAGCCAGGTGTTCACCTCAACCCATACCAACTTCAAACAGATGCAAGGACAGTAGCTGAATCTGATTTCAGACTAAGGACATAAAAGATGAGTTTTATGTTCTTACGCTTTTATAACATTAGAACGAATTCATTTTTAGATAAAGAATAGTATACTCCCCTACGCTCCAATTCTTTCACATAAAATTTGCTCTGAAAATAGCATGGCTGAGTTCCACTCTTTCAACTATTACTTGATCACTGCCAAATATTTGCAAGTTCAGATTTTTCCACATCTCACCCATCTACTGCAACTACATTGCAGTTCATGTAGTATCTACTATGTTTTGTTCTACTTCTATGAATAAATGTATCGTGGCAAGTGATCAAGTCAGTCACAGAAACAGAATGAATTACTTTGAAATACAAAACTGAAAGAGTGCTGGAAGAAGAGCCCTTGATAGCCTTTTACCCAAATCAAGGTTTAACCTTAGGAAAGAATGACTAGCCTAAGACAGCAATACTGCTTGGCAGCAGAGAAGCTGAAAGTGTGTTTAGGGTGTGGATGGCAGTGCCTGTCCATGGCCTTTCATCCTCATGCGATTGTGTCTTCATCTTCAGGTGAAGAATGAGTTTGTTCAATAAGTCTGAGTCTAAATAAATAGAAGTGGTGAGCAACTCTTCAAAAGACATCAGGAGTACAAGTAGAAGCCTGCGGAATCTCTCTATCCTCTTATCATAAGGGCATCCAGGAACTTTTTGTGGGGTAGTTCTACAGACAAAATGACACCAAGTCTGTAATTTACATATGTGGTTGGGTGGAGACTTTTTTTGAGGTACTCTGCTGAATTTCAAACTTTTTAATTAAAATAAGTTTATAAACTATAATATTACTGAATCCTGTTAAACCAAGAGTGGCATTTGATTTTGATAGATATCACTAACTTAAATGCATTTCTGTGTACAGTGCTATTTTTACAACCATAACCTGTGAGAGAGCAATTCCCCATTTGGGACATGTATATATGTCCTTAAAACGTGTCTAATTTTGTGAAGAATATCTGCACATACTGCAGGATGCACATGCCCATTAATAGACATGCCAGCATTTTACACACAAACTTTTGATCTCTAGTACCTGTCATTCATTTACAGATTATTTCTTGCGTATAAGTAAGCTTGTATCAGATTAAAAAGACGCTCAAAGTTGTATTTCAGAGGGAAAAAAAAATAATACCTTCAATTACCTATCTTCTGGTAGCTGCAGGGTCACTTAATGGGTTCAACTCCAACCAATCCAAGTATTTTCCTGCTTGTGACAGAAATAAGTCTCATGTCCAGAGGCACACTGCACATCTCACAGCTCTCATGCTAGGCAGTCACCTACCAGATTGGCTGTCTTGTGTGAAACCCTGGTACACTCAGCAAATCTGCTCCCAAGAGCTTTAACTATGAGAGCCAGTGCATCCTGCACAGGCACATTATGATGTAGTACAGAGCAGAGAGAGATGGCTTCATCAAACTGGTGTTTTCATCGACTTTGTGCTTCTCCAGACAGATAGAAAAATACAGCTGTTAACTCTGTGCAGTATAACAGAGTGAGATGTTTAAAGCCTTCAGTTCAGTATTGACACAGCCCTCCTGCAGCTGCACAGGTTAGTTTTAATTTATAACCAGTATATGAACTTTATTTGAGATATAAATGAAAAGCTGTAAATTCTCCTTCCCTGTGTCACATCATTGTTGGTCAGTTTTAACTTTAGATCATGAACAACATAAAGGTTCCAAATTCTACACAATGATTTTTCACAAACATCTACTCCCAAAATAATAGGATTTGTACAGATTTTTTCTTAATTTCAGAGTATTTTTAATGAAGAACAGGGCAGTTACTTTTGCTCCAGGAGAAACTGCATTTTTTCACAGTGTTCCTGATACATGAAAATATGTGAAATTTGTAAATTTACAATAAAAAGTTCTGAAACAAATAGAGCTTAAATGCTTAAAAAGCATTTTTATTTATTTACATAGAATCAACACAAGAAACTGAAACTATAATTAGGCAATTGCTATATAACTTCCTATAATTTAATTATTATATGTGGGTTTGTTAAGTGCATTTAAGCCATATAAGCAGCAATCCAGGATAGACATTTAATCACTAATGTATTATGCATTATTAGAAATTAATTCAGTGAACTATTTCAAAGCTGTCTCATTTTAACTAGGTCAAATTCTGTTACCCAGAAGTGCAATGAATCTGTGTTTAAAATTTAAATGGGTTGAAAGAAATTTAAACTGCGGTTCTGAATGGAGAATATTTTAAGCCACATCCCTCAAACAACCTGAACTTTTTCTAGATAGAATAATGAAGTCTGATTACAGGGTTGTTCAAGAATACAAAACAGTCATTTAACTTCTTGGAGTGCAGGTGTGAGATCTGACTTATGTGAGGTATGTTATTTTCACCTCATGTTCAGGTTCTCGTAAGTGATTGCCTATAATTCTAGAATAACCCCTGAACTGAAAGTCTGTGTCACTGTTTCTCATTGCTGTGCTGTTGTCATCTCGTATGTACCAGAAGCCACAAGTACCAAGCCCAATGCTGAGCTGTGAGAAACCCACAGAACAATGTGTTCTTTGATCAAAAACACCTTCTACAAAAATGGGAAGTATTTGTGAGCTCTATTTTAAGCTATGCAGAAAATTTTAGAAGTATTTGTTATAGTAGGAAGCTGTAATATATATCAGAGGAAGATTTTTAGTTAATGATTCCTACTTGATCACATTTTAGTGCTAGAGTGAAAAGCTATTAAAATTTCTATTTATAATCTGATTTTATCTCATCATCCTAGCATGCTGAGAAATATTCAGCTGAAAAGAATATTCTCTGTTATGAACTATTACAGTAACATTACTGTAATTTTGTTAGTAGCCTGTTTTTTTTCAGAAATACTGAAGATAGCACAAAAATTAAGACCAGCAATAGATATGTTCTGAGGATTGATGCTGAACATTAACCTTTAAGAATTTTACTGATAACTTGATTTTAGTCATTTAACCCGGAAGATTATATTTCTTAGCAATGTGGAGAGAGGAAGGTCACAAATTCCATTTGCTTCACCAACAAAAATACTTGTTAACACTGATCCTGAAATTATGAGTGGAATAGTAGATAGTCAAAGAAGAACTGATTTTTTATATATTGGAATACACCTACTTTTTTAAGCAGTTCTAAAAGTGTTTCATCTACATAATAAAGCCACATATTTGGTTTAAAACAACTGAAAACAAATTAATTTCTCAGCTTCATTATTTGCTTAAAAAAAATCATAAATCAATTTACAACCTGCTCCAATTATCACACACGATTTTTGCATTTCAGACATATTAACCAACCCAGCTGAAGCAGCTGTAGTTTTCTATCTGCATTCCTGTGCCTAAACATTTCAGTAGATCACTAAACTGCAATAGTGGCAGAGAATTTCTAACTCTCATTTGAAGAGATTATGTACTGCTACACATGTGCAACACTCCATGAACCAAAAGAAAGAATCTTTGGTGTAGTTCCAGTCATATGACTATCAGAAGGAGGTATGTCAAATTCAGAAGTCAGTGAGGAGGAAGGGAATTAAATATTGCAAAATATATTGCCTAGATGCAGAAAGAAATTTTAAAACTAACTAGAAGTTTTAAGGTGATCCAGAAACATTAAATAGGCAGGATCTTCAAACATTATCTACACTTTTGCAGGGTCATATTTCTGAACTGGGTTACACCTGCCTATATAATTACCATCTCTGTAACAGAATTAGGAAAAAAAAAGCAAACAAATGAAAAAAAACCTTTAATAGAAACCTACTTTTCCTCCTTGCTGGTGGCAACAATGACAGTCAGAAGGTGTCTCATTCCTTCTGCATCTGTTGGTAAAACTGCATGTATAGTTTCTGTGTACAATCACCCCTGGTGTAGTCATCTGCAACCAACTGGAAAATCAATTAAGGAACAGCACAGACTGCAAAACTGTATTGAACATCACCAAGTTTCACTACTTTACTGCTTAACAATACTGCTAAAAATTATAAAAACAGTTCCTTAAAGCAAGTGGTTCCCCTCCACACTTTTCATTTTCCCTGAGTATATTTGTTAGATATGTAAAAAACACGTAAGAAATAATGGTTGGTTAAACTGGGCTGCAAACTTCTCAGAATCATTCTACTGAGAGCAGCCCATTTATCTATTCCAACCCACAAAGCATTTCTTTTGTAGCATTCTCTCCTGAACTTTCTTCCATTTTGATGTTGGGACCCAAATATCATTCCAAGGGAAGGCAGCGTGTCTAGGAAAAGCCACCAGACTACAGCCAGACACTAAAGACTAACCAGGAACATTTTTCACCTGTATTACCAATACTTTCC